GCTCCGGAGCGAAGGGTCTGGAGCATCTCCTTTGAACTCTATTCCATCCATGATTTGCATTCTGCTTTGCCAAAAAAAAACAACAAAAAAAAACGAGAGCGAAAAAAATTGAAACAGCGACACAAGGAAATCCCAGATGAAACAAAAAGACCCAAAAACGCCAGGAATGGTAATGGTCGCTTTTCCCCCAAAAGAAATCTCAGTACCAAGCCCAGACCGGATAGAGATAAAACAGGAAAAAACAAAACGAATGAATGGTATGACCGAAACGCCAAATGTGCTTCTGCTCATCTATGACTATGCCGTTTGTCCCCAAGAGGAAAACCAAACAAAAACAGCAGGTCGTGAGCCGGCATTAATACATTATTAAATGTCCTATAATCCAGGCTTTTGGGCTATGTGCCTATGTGTCGTCCATTGTCGAAGCTGGAACTTGTGTCGACAAGGTTGGGAATTATGTACTGGATTGGCATTGCTCGCAAAGATGAACAGCCAATCAGGGTATCGTCAAAGACAGAGGCTTAACCTCGACTTGTTGGACAGATGGTTGCGGCTTGAGGGACTGGACAGGCTCATCAAGGGCTGGTGGCGGGATCTGAGACTCTTCCACTGCGGGTGGTGGTTTTTCGTCCTTGATCGCCGCCGGGGGTGTTTTGGAGTCGTCCTCGACCACGGCAGGTGGTGTCTTGTCGTCGTCAACCTCCTCCACTTTGTCAAGCGCAGGTGGCGCTTGAGGAACAGGCAGCGTCTCGTCTGCGGGGCGCTGCTCAGGCGTTTTGGGCAGCTCTTTGGCCGCGTCGACAGGTTCGGGAACCTCGGGTACATCTGCAAACTTCTCCGAGATTTCGTGGCTCGGCCTGGGGCTTCGCTCGCCGCGGATGCTAGGCGCAACACTGGAGACTCCTCGATGAACATGCCCTCCAGGCACGACGCCACCTCCGATGCGGCTCCAGAACATCTGATCTCTCAACCGAACGCTCTCCTCCCAAGCGGCCCGTTCAGCATCCTCGTCCTCGGCACGCCAATGGCCGTCCTTCACAATACGCAAAAACCCGAGGAAATCGCAAGTAGACCGAACCCGACCAAGACAGTATTTGCAAAGGGGATATGCGTTTTGTGCCGAGTCGGACTCGCTGGTGCGGAAACGATGTGTCCGAAGATACTGCTCTTCAGTCCTCTGCTCGCCGCATAGAGAGCATGGGATCAATTCAGGTCTCATGATTCTGCCAAATCTGCCAGTGGTCGTGGACGGCGCGGGCTCAACAACCAATGTACCTTCCGTCATGGCAGTCAATACGCTCCGGCGAGCGAGCCAAGAAAGGCCAGGCGCACTGTCCAATCGAAGGGTCGGCTCGATATCCTCCGTCAAGACCCTCTTGTAGAACTTGGTCTCCTTCAAATGGGGCAGGACAGGCGCGGCGGCAGAAGAGGTTGTGCTCACGGTGGAAGCGGGGGTATTTGGCGTCTGCGGCGAGGTCGCCGGCGAGCCGGCGGTGGCATTGGTCGCAAGAGATGTACTGGACAGGTTGCCCGCCGTGACATGGGACGCCACAGACCCGAGACCGAGCCCAAGTGAGACCAATCCAGAGTTTGAAGCATTCGAAGGAGTGCGCTGGGACGAGAGCCGCTTCGATGTTTGGACAAGATCCTTGAAATCCCGGAATGCCGCCAAGTCTGTGCGAAGGACCGGGTGTAGCAGCTGCGTGAAGCTGGTTGGGTATGACGGCGAAAGCGCAGCCGGGAGACTCTGACTATGGGTGTGGTGCGGGTGGTTCATGGTAACGGAGGGACCATCGCAGTCCTCGAATTTGCTGAAGGTCGGTGACGATGGGCAGGTAGGGGGAGCCTGCTCCTCATTCGCTGCCGTCATCTGCTCCATAACGTTCTTCAGCTGGACCAGCTGTTCCTGTTGCGACCTAAGAATGGCTTCCGTGTCGGCAAGCTGGGATTTCAGCTGATCATTCTTGCGCTGAAGGACTTCCTGTTCTCTTCGAGCCTCCTCTTTGGCCGAGATAACCATCTTGTTAGCCTCTTCAAAGAGAGCAGCCGTCAAGTTCTCCAGTTCCTGCTCAATCTTCTTTTTCTGCTGTTCCACGTCGGCACGCGCCCGCTTCTCCTCCGCCACACGCGCCAGAAGATGGCTCTTTTCGGCCTCGACGGTTTTCCTTCGAACCCAAACGTCCCCTGCCAGCATCTCCCTCTGCTCGGCCACCTGGACTTCCAACTGCCGAACCTGCTCGCGGGCCTTTTCCAATTCCAACCTCGTCGCAGAGAGATTATCGTCCAAAGTCGTCTGGTGGTTGATGGCGTTGATGAGCTTGGTGCTCAAAGTTGCGACCTCCTGGTCGAGATCGGGATGGTGGGGGGCGGCCATGGTTTCGGGGTCTGCAGGGCTCATCGCCCTGCTCCTAGGGTCGGGGATGGTGCTCAAGTCGTTCTCGTCATCATGTTCCTGGGGTGAGAAGAGTCGCTGCGGCTGGGGCGTAGAGGGAACAGGACGGGCAATGTCGGCGGTCATGGACGATTCGGCAATAGAATTGGCCCTAGCGTGGCCCGGCGAAGGCTTCGGCGAGGCAGCTCTCAAGATACTAGAGAGCGATCTGTTGTGGGCCACCTTGGGGCGACCGACGGACTGGACAGGCTGATGCGAGGACCAGCCGGCCACCGTAACGAAGCTTTGCCACAGCTTGTTAGTAACGGCCATGTGACGCCTTGCAAGGAGCGTTGGGGGATTATCGAGCGAAGCGCGTTCCCTGTCGTGCACATACTTGTAATCCAGCTTGGGAGATTTGCGAAGGACCACACCAGAAGCTGGCGGGTCCTTGAATCACCAAAAGAAGGCCGCTGCTTCCTCCGTTACTCGACCTTGTGGCCGCACAAGGAAATCGCGTCTGCTACCGGCGGGTGAGACAGCGAGATGAATGTCTGAGGTGTTATGTCGGACGGTCACGGCCACCGTCAGCCGAGGCATGCGTCGATAAGCAGAGAAGAAGAAGAAAAGAAAAAAGAAAAAAAAGAAAAAAAAAGGAAAAAAAATTGAGTATCCTAAGCAGCGCGCTCAAAATGGAACAGGACAACACGCAGTTAGTCGATGGTGGGAGGCAAGCTGTCCAAAACAAGACGATGAGGAATCTAGAGATGCAGCAGGAGGAGCAGTTCTCCGGGCAGCGAAAGCGGATGCGGGCGGGCAGAGAAGGTGATAACCTGCAGCATCAAAGATGTGCAGAGCAGCAAACGGCAGGACACAAGACCCAGATTTTACAGCCTCTAGACAGGGGTCAGCTCGGCTCCCATTGGACCCTGCCCAGTCCCCGACTGCTTGGAGCGGAGTCCAGACGTGCGAAGAAGGCGCAAAAGCGCTTGTGGATTTTGGAGATTGGATGGGTGAGTCCGATGATATCGCTCAGTTTTGGTAATGGATGGAGGGTCGGAGTCTCCATCCTGCCTATCTTGGGCTTTGATTCAATTTGACTCTGGATGCCCGGGATGGCTCAACAATAGCTGGCCCCGACTCCTGCGGCCGGACGGGCTAGCCCCAACGTTGACCCGGCCGGAAGAGCCTTTTCGGTTGCTGACTGATGATACGCTATGGCGAGCGGCAAACAGCTCAGCAAATTGTGGCTTCCCTACGAGGATCAATCAGCAAAGCAGAAAAGTTGGCCGAGTTTTTCACTGGCAGATTTGAGCAAACGTCATCGATCAAGCCAAAACCGGGATTCTTGTTTGGAATGGCATTTCTTAAAGGCCCCTGCTATGCGGCTCAGCTGGTCAAAGCGTTTGCTGATGGAGCGGACAGGCGGGTTGGGGTCTGGATTCCATCTCCGGGTCGGGAGCTTTGACACATGGTCCGTGGACGACAAGCTTTGGTCTTTTTGCCGACTCGGGTCCTCGGGGCAGCATCCGGGTCCGTGTGAGTATCAGGTTCAGAGTTTTGTTTTGATGGACAGGAGACGGTAGAATGGACAATTTCTGCGGTTTGAAAGGCAGGCTCTGTCACACTGTTTGTGGACTGACAGAGAGGCACGATGAAGGCAACACCAAACAAAACCCAGGGCTCATCCGGACAACGCTTGGTGGATGTGCAAATGCCGTCTGACGATCAGGTGAATCGCAAAATCCTCCCGCTAGCGAAAAGATGTTGGATGCAACATGTGATCTGGTAAGCTGGGTTTGCGCACCCGTATCTCGAGTCTCGAATTATAAACCACAAGAACTATCACCAAGTGCGGAGAAGTTGCAGCAGCGTTTACCTGATGGTTTCAAAGCCCCAAGATGCTTACGGGCATAACACCCAAGACGGAACTTTTCGTCCAAAGATGATTGAATCAGGCAAGACTATGCGACTTCCCCCTCCCAACCCCTCCTGCACCTTAAGCCCCCCAAGGCGGAGAGGAATCAGACCGAAGGTGCCAAAACTACAACATCTCAACAATCGGGGAAGCAAGAGCCAGCCGGACCCGAACAGGGGTTCCGATCAGCAGGCACATCTGTGCTTGCTGTGCGTTCTGTGATTGCCTGAGAGCCATCGAGACAGCTGCACACTATCATATCTCATTCTAAGACCTCAAGGCCTCGTGTTTCTGGCGTCTGTCTTGCCTGCCATGCATATCTGTGATGTGTATGGGATTGGGCCAAGCGGCAAGTGCCTGCTTGACGCATCTTGCTCAGCCCAAGGATACTGTTCCAGGTTGGTGTTGTCTTGGACGCGAAGGTCGTTTGTTGCCATCCCGATATCTTCATTTTCACCTCTTACAGATACATACTGAGTATACTATACATACACAGACGTGGTCTCTATTGCTCAATACTCCTGTTGACAAGTTGACATTTTCGCCAACACCCGTCTGCTTCGGCTATCTCTGCACTACCTATCTCATCGTTGATGCCACACTCTTTCATTCATTCATTCATTCATTCATTCATTCAGTCATTCAGTCATTCAGTCATTCAGTCATTCATTCATTCGTTCTTCCAGAGCATCACTGCCAAGTTGACCTCCACGCTGACTGAAACAGTGGCTTGCATAGCAGCTGGGGAATATGGCACAACGGACAAACACTTGGAGCCACCTTGGCCAAACATTGCCACTCACCCTGTCAAGCGACATTAGTGCGAGTTGCACGGCATGGGATGGGACGGGAACTGCAACCTGCTGTCACTTTCCCACTGTCACATATCCCAAGATTTCTGTCCCAGGTTATTGATTGTTGGCTTTGTGATCAGTGATGGGTCAATACGGGCTACAAAGTCTCTCAGCATGTGGTGCTTTTTGGTCATGTTGAAAGTTTGCCTCATCTACGGTGTTTGAATTTACCTCGCGGAGGAGTTACAAGGACTCAACAACATTAAGCCGTTGGAAGATGCGCAAGTCGACCAAGGTCTCCGAGTGAACGTTTTCCTCGGAGCCCCAACAATCTGCTTTGGTTTGAAACACACCTGGTCTGGCAAGACGACACACTGTGTGAGAACTCCAGGCTTGATATCGACAATCTCTGGCAGAAACTTATACTGTGCAGTCTCAAAGAGCGGTCAACTGAACACCACCTCCAACGGGAACTGGTGATAGCTATATCAGCTTCTTCTCACAGCACATCCCTTGAACCGCCTGCAGGACGGGACAGGAAAGGCTGCCAGCCCTCAAACATCGACCTCTTCTGGTTGGCTTGAATCGATCACCCCTTAGTCACCATTGATACTAGTTGGCATGCCCGCATACCCCAGCATTGACGAGCCAACAAGAAGGACAGGAGGCTCGCATGCGCACACCATATGAGGAAGCAGATCGTCGACCGACAGACGCCCGTGATGACCAATAATTTGCGCTAAGAAACGGGTGGGATCTGATCTGTCTTGGGCTCGGGAGAGGGGACCACCCAAGTTCTTAGATTTCTGCGTCCCTTTTCCAACTGCTTCTGGCATGGGGTGGTGTTCGAGGGGTGGGGGGGGGGGGGGGGCAATGTTGGGAGACTGCAGCTCCCAGAAATAACGCAAGCAAGCCTGGAGCCTGGCCCCCCTCGAAACAGGTGCACGAACTGCTGGGACCCATGGATCTCTGCGGTTAGCCGCATTGTTGGAGCCCTGTCAAAATTTACGGGAAGGCTTAGTTCCCGCTAGATCTGCAGAATCCGGGGAATAAACACTCACTGTCACTATCGACGTGACAGCTTCCCAGGACGTTGGAACGATTTCGAGCCAGGTTTTCCACCCATTTTATCGCCATTTCACTGGCTCGATTCTTACTTGCAATCCTACGAATGAGATTCGATCAGATCTGACGCCCCTCGACGAGGAAATGCGGCGCATATCAACGGACTTGGCGCACTCCTGCAAGGCATCGGGTATCATCCCCCCACTCCCCCCCCCCAACCATGAAGTTCGAGTCCTTCCTGCTTCTTGCCTGCCGCTCGGCATTTGCTCACAACGCCGGGGAAATAAGCCGTGCGAAGAGGCTCCCGACGACGAAGTCCAGCATTACACAGCATGGAAGATACATCCGTACCACCCGTACCACCCGTACCACCCATACCACCCATACCACCCGTACCACCCGTCTCCCGCTGCCATTTGAGCGCGCCGTTGGGTGTAACGGAAGGCACTTTATGCTGCGATGGAGGCTTCTATACGGCATCTGGAAGAGATAGGAATACGCCATTACTAACAAAATGAAGTTTTATCTCGCCTCAACCTCAAAAATATGGAAGTTTGCAAATGGGTCTCGCCGAACTTCATCTGAAACGGGCTGAAAAACATGGGATGGGAGGTCGCCGTCCTTTTTCACACAGTGCTGGCGGTGTCCAGAGCTGCTTCGGGAAGCTTTGGTCCTTTTTCCGAGCAGATATTCCAACACCGACAAAACAGTTTTGTATGGCTGCGAGAGACCCGATTGGGGATGCCTCAGAGACTGTCCCCCACGTGGAGCTAGTCCTAGTTTTGAGGGTGTGAAGGGAGCAAATGTCCCGGAAGGGCCTTCCTGGGATCACGATCGACCTCTTGCAGGGAATTACTTCAAAGTTGGTGGACGCTGGGCCGAGGGGCTACAAGTCGAGTACTCAGGCATGGACTCGGTCTCTCTGACATTTCGTTGGTTGACAGTGCAGATGGGCGACAGCTGGCTGCAATTCAGCAGGCCGAGATGGATCTTCCTGTACCTGTTACAGGTATAAAGATGGGAGCTTTTCTCTGATGCTGCCCAGTCTTCGGTCGTCCTGTCGAGCTTTCATCTGCATCCTGATCTCTACAAACATACCTTTTAGGCTTTGACTCGAGAACAATGGTCGACACGAGTGCATATCCCGTCCCTCCACTCGCCGGGGACACCCACGGATACTGGTTGGTAAGTTTTCATTGGGCTATCCCCTTTCACATTGGGGTTCTTGCCCTGATAGTTGTCTTGCTGACTTGGAATAGGAAACACGGCCTCATGATGAGTCTCTAGACTCTAGGAATGTCGTGGATTTCCCCCGTCCCTTGAATCTTCCGGCTGATCTTAGCGTTCTCACCGCCGGAACTTCCGACTACGCTGGTTCGTACATCATCTGGCCTCCCGGCCATCCCAACTCTCCCACGTCCTGGTATGACTGGGTCGCGAGGGAGCATGACTGCTACGAATGCCGGCGCAATTCACTCGGAAGTCATGGTCAACAACCCGAAGGCACCCAACAGCTTCCCCAGGGCACTATGGCACCGCTCATGGAGATGCTTCACCCGTCGTTCTTCGCTTCTCAGCCGGATGCCTTTTCAATCATCCACGCCCCGTTTCCCGAGACAACATACTCCTCTCCAGCTGTTCAGAACAATACCGGTGGAATAGTCTCCCAGCTGCCCCGTCCGCAACAGCACCCACCTCCAGAGGTTCAAGCACTGCCCGCAGCAGCTTTCTTCCAGCCATCGGCTCCTGACTACAGCCACCAAGCCTTCCAGCCAACGCGACACAACCCGGCTCAGCAGCACTACCAACCTCACACCATTGCAGACATGCAGCAGGTAGTTACACCCCAATATGACAGTTTGGCCAGCATCGATATCAACCCTCACCCAGACCCCCACTACCCAACCGCCACCCCGTTCAACTCTCCCACCACCACCACCGTCACCACAGACCCCTTTCTCTCCGACCTCCTCCCAGCCCCAGTCCCCATCTCTCTCGACAACAACGCCCCCCAACACCCCGTACCGAGCCCCCCTATAGCCCACGCCCGCCGAACTACCCCCCCCAACGCGGAGGAACGCTACCAGTGCGCCCACCTCCTCCCCTCCGGCCAGGTCTGCAGCGCCGAGTTCCCCCGCCACTGGGAACTAGACCGCCACATCGACACGCTCCACATCAAGTCCACGCGCACCACCTGCCACGACTGCAAGCCCTCACAGACGTAGTAAGTTTTTTCTCTCTTGTCCCCTTGTCGACAAGGGGTGAGTATTGAGCAACAAAACAACAGCAGCCGACCCGACTGCTGGCGCCGCCACTGGAGGAGGACGCACGCGGTGAGATTTATCGAGGAGAGGGGGGATTTGTTTTTCGTGGGGTTGCTGGAGCGGCAACAAGAGCGGGCTGGTGACGGACAAGCAGGAACGGGGCAGCAAAAGGGGGAGGTGGCGTTGACGAGGAGGAAGGTGAGGAGGTATGATAATGGGCTGGGGGGGGTGA